ATAAAAATCATTATAAACAACAGAGAGTACGAAATGCTGGTCGACTCAGGTGCTGAAATATGTGCAATTTCAGAGGAATATTACAAGGACATAAATCAAAACGACAAAAATATACCAGTCATCCCACTAACAGGACTCAGCATACACAACGCAACAGGAAATAAACCAACGAAAGTAAATAAACAGATCCTATTACCCATCGAGATAGAAAAAAAAAACAGATACATACACCATTCATTGTAATAAATAACTTAAACGAGAAAGGGATATTAGGCAATGATTTTTTGGAAATAAACAAATCAACGATCGACTACGAAAAAAGAAAGTTAACAATGAAGATAGACGACAAAATCTATGACATACCGTTTTTAAGGAAAAACGGGAAACAACCAATGCACCTACGAGCAATATCCACGCAACCAATCATGGAACCTATCGAACAAACACAGCTCAACACACTCCCAGAGTGCATTCAAGAGAAACTAGACAGATTAATACGGCAATATCCTAGAGTATTTCGAGATACACCAGGGGAAATAGACGGTTATGAGTGCAAAATAAGATTGAAAAACGACAAACCAATCAACCAAAGACCATATCCTATTCCAGTTACTAAACGCGAAGCAGTCGAAAAAGAAGTTCAGCGTATGGTAAACATGGGGATAATTAAACAATCGAGATCACCATACTCGGTACCGATAGTACCAGTTTTCAAAAAAAACGGTGAGGTAAGATTATGCTTGGACGCTAGAAAGATCAACGAACAAATCATTCCAGACCGTGAGTGTCCGATGACAATAGAAACAATTTTTTCTAAGTTCGAAAAAATAAAATGCATTAGCACTTTGGATCTTCGAAGTGGATATTGGCAAGTAAAACTAGAAGAAAAAAGTATGGACCCATGTTCATTTCTCATAAACGGAAGAAACTACTCGTTCAAACGTATGCCGTTCGGTCTAAACATCAGCGGGTCGGAATTTCAAAAAAGTATGGACATGGTATTGGGCCCATTACTACAATCCTTTGTAACAATATACGTCGACGACATTCTAATTACGTCAGAAAATGAAGATAGCCACTACGAACACATCAGAATGGTTCTAGAAAGATTTGAGAAATACAATGTCACGATCAACATTGATAAATGTCAATTCTTTCGAAAACAAGTGTCATTCCTAGGACATATCATCTCAACCGAGGGAATAAAAATGGATATGGCCAAAATAAACACAATTCAAAACTTTAAAACACCAAGCAAGAAAAAAGAAATCCAAAGTTACTTAGGATTCTTGAATTTCTATAGAAAATACGTAAAAAATTTCGCACATATAATAGAGCCGTTAATTGAATTAACCAGGAATAATGCAAAGTGGACATGGGAGGAGAAACATCAACAAGCTTTTGAAGAATCAAAAAAGGCATTTTTAAAGGAGGTAATAATAACATTCCCGGACTTCACGAAACCACTATATATCAATACAGATGCATCAAGCGTAGCAATAGGAGGTGAACTATATCAGCAATTGGACAACAACGAAAGAGCAACACTCGGCTATGCAAGTAGGACACTCAAACCGCCCGAAACCAGATATACAACAACTGAAATAGAGGCATTAGCTCTTGTATATTGCTGCAGCAAATTTCGACAATACATACTAGACCACAAAACAATCATACAGACAGACCACCACGCGTTAATCTTTATGAAGAGTTGTAGGCTGACTAATGGACGTTTAACCAGATGGACATTAGCACTACAAGAATATGATTTGGACATTCGATATATTGCAGGAAAGGATAATATAATAGCAGATACACTTACACGGTACCCCAGGTTCAACGAGGAACGGGATGAAGCCAGAATATCAATCAACAAAATAAGGAAAGCAGAATATAGTCCAGAATTAAAAAAATCCATCGATAATTTGGCAATTCTACAGAAAACAGATAAAAGAATAAATAAAATGATGAGTAAGGAAAATGAGTACATAAAGATAAAAGAAAACATAGTTTTTGTAAAAGACAAGACAGAAAACAATTGGCGTGTGGTCATACCAGAGAAAATCGTACATATGTTAACATCAGAAACCCATGAAATAATGGGACATGCAGGACGATATAAAACATACTATGCACTAAAAGGAATGTGCATATTCAAAAATATGCACAAAATCACGGCGGCAGTAATAAAAAATTGCGACAGTTGTCAAAGAAGCAAACCCATCAACTATCAAGCAAGTGGACCAACAATATCTCAGAAACCGAAAACACCGTTTGAAACAGTTTCAATAGATTTAATGGGACCCCTTCCCATGGGCCGAGGAGGAACTCAATACATCCTAGCAATATTGGACACATTCTCCAAATATATTAGATTATATGCATTAAAAAAAGCATCGGCAAAAGCAATACTAAATAGGATCGAAGTAGACTATATACCAAGAACAGGCAAACCACAGTCAATATTGACGGATAACGGAACACAGTTTACGGGAAAATTATGGCAGAAAAAACTGAACGACATGAATATCAAAATAAAACACTCCACTAAATATCACCCTCAATCGAATCCAGTTGAGAGATATAATCGAGAAATAGGAAGACTTTTGAGGACATACTGCCACAATCAACATACCAAGTGGCCAAATTGTCTAGAGAAAATTGAAGAGTGGATGAATAAAGTACGATCCGAAGTTACGGAAATGACCCCATGGGAGATAATCAAAGGAGAGACACCGAAACAACCACTAGAGGATATGATCAACTTTCCGAGGCCGAAACAATCAAAAAAAGAAGACATAATACAACTTGTAGCATCCAGGATCGAAGAAAAAGCAAGAAAACGAGAATCAAAAAAGAAAAACCAAAGCAATATAATATATGAAAAGGGACAAAGTGTGTTAGTAAGAGACCACCACTTATCGAATACAGATAACAAGGAAATAAAAAAGTTATTCCACATGTACAACGGACCATTCATCATAACCAAAGTCATAAGTAAAAACACGCTAGCCGTGAAGAACATACACTCGGGACGGGAAGAACTCATTAACGTGTCCGAGGTTCGTCCATACTATGTTATGGACAAACACAGCAATTTATAAAAAACAACAAGGGGAGCCAATGAAAGAGATGACAACGTTGACGAATCAGAACCAAGAATTTGGTATATCACAAACTATATAAGATCAGTCAACAAGAATCATAGTCATCAGTTCAAGAAATGGCACCCATCAACCCAGAACGAGAACAGGCAAGACGGGCATTATACAAGGCATCAATCCGCAGACGTGTCGCTAACGATTCAACACATTTACCATCGGTTCAGTTACTTCCCCGATGACAAATCTGGGGGGGGAGCTGTAACGGGATAAACCGTCACTATATTAAAATGGTCCTTTTCAGGACCACCAAACACAACAGTATGGCAACATAATGCGACACAAGAAATAAACGCGACACACTAGAATAAGTAGTTTGCCAACAGGAAAGTTTCACGGAAATAACTAGCAAGAACCACATTAACGAAGCGAACACCAATGGGTCAAGGTGTGGTTATTGCTTATCAAAGCAACCATTCCCGACCAATCACAGGACAACAAAGGGAAACAAATAGTATATATACCGGGACAGTTCACCGGTCAAATCGTTGGTTCAATCAAAGTCCAGTCCAGTCAGCGGTTGATTCACCACCTCAAAGTGACGTTCAGCGTTGAACACGGAACCTCGGCTGCACCAGTTTCAAAAATCAGACATCATACTTCGTAAGTACCACTTTATTAGTCCCCCCCCTCCGACCACGAGGCAAGTGTACCTGAGGGTCCACGTAGCCGGGTCTACACCGTAGTACAGGCATTCCCGTCAGCACACCATGGCACGAACCAGGAAACAAAAAGGTTCCTCCCCGAAAAACAACACAAAAGGACCTCAACGACCAGAACCAAAGTCACCATCACCCTTCGACAATGAAACCTCTATTGTTACGGAGTCACCAACTCATTCTTCATCAACTATTGATTCTAACGACACCTGGGATGGCAGTGTGTCCCAAACCTCACGCTCAGAAATCGAACCACCTCATGTCAAACAAGAACGAATACCACCAATCATTATAGAACCAAACCATTGGATTAAAGCTGCCCCAAAAATCATGACACTATTTCCAAATGGTAAACTTACGGCTAAACTTATCAAAAACAACATCCATGCCCTAGCAACCGACTCTGCCACCTTTCGCCAGGCTCAAGACGTTTTGGAAAAAGCGAAAATACCTTTCCACACCTTTTCGTTACCAGCGGATAGATCCTTAAAAGTCTTACTCCGAGGAATACCCAACAACACCCTAGTAAAAGACGTTCAAAACGAACTCTCCGAGCTCGGATTTGAAATAACCCACATCAGACAATTCTTAAAAAATGGAAAACCACTACCAATGTACATGGTCACCCTTCCCTGCAACCCAACAAACAAGAACATATTCAATTTGACATCAATCTTCTACATCTCAATCACAGTTGAACAATACAGAGCTTCTGGGCCCTCTCAATGCTTCAACTGCCAAAACTTCGGCCACTCATCAGCAAACTGTAAACACCCCGCTCGCTGCGTCAAATGCAGTGGTGCCCACCAAACGAGGGAATGCTCCAAAACCGCCGAAAAACCTCCAAAATGCTGCAACTGTGGAGGAGAACACACAGCAAACTTCAGACAATGCCCTGTTTTCGCAGATCAAATGACCCTCAAAACTAAATCAACCAACACTGTTGCTAAATTACCATCACCAACCATTACGACAAATCCTACACCATCAGTTAAAGAGCCCAGCGGGACAAACACCTCTTATGCTTCAATTACTACAAATCACTCGGACAAAACCAACAGCAAATCCAAAGATTTGCTCACCAAACTTCTTATAGATACGATACAAAAAATATCCACTTCCGCTGATATCAAGGAAACAATCATGTCGGCCCTCTCAGCCATTATCATGATTATCCAAAATGTCTAACAATCTCCGTATCCTCTACTGGAACTGCCGGGGCGCCTCTAAAAAACGCCTCGAACTCCTTGAATTAGTTCAAAGGAAAAACATCGACATTATTTTACTCAATGAAACGCATCTTAACAACTCCCAACAATTCAAACTTCCAAACTTCCACTCATACATCACTAATCGCCCCCAACGGCTTGGACATCCTGCGTGGGGAGGCACTGCCATACTTATAAATCGAAAAATTGTTCACCACCAGATTAAGATCACTACATCATCAATTGAAAATACCTCAATCCAAATTCAAGTAGGCAACAAAGAATTAAGATTATCAGCGGTCTACAAAAAACCTGATACCCTACTTCTTACTTCAGACCTAGAATCTCTGCTTGATACTTCACACTACGTCGCCATAGCAGGCGACTTAAACGCCAAACACCAATCCTGGAACAGCAGGAGACAAAACACAGCAGGAAACACGCTCGCCAATTTCGCAGACAAGAGAAGGGACATAACCATAGCTGCCCCGACTTCGCCCACTCACTATCCTGATAACCCGACCCACAATGCTGATATACTGGACATAGCTATTCTCAAAACAGGGAATCTAAGGTATACAATAGAAAATCTCACAGCCGAACTTTCTTCCGATCACACCCCTATAATTCTTGAGTTACAAGCCCAAGGCACTCAAACCTTACCACCTAAAGTTTTTAAACATACAGATTGGACCAAATTCAATCTTGATACCAAAAACATAATCTTTGATCACAAGAAAATGCAAACTTCGGAACACGTCGACCAAGCTATCACTGAACTTACAGCAAAAATAGCTGACCTCGCAAACAGAAACACCCATGTTACTAACACAAAAGATCAAATCCGCAACCTACCCATCAACATCCTAAACGCAATCCACAAAAAACGCAAACTGAGGAAGAACTGGCAACACACAAGAAACCCAGACGTTAAGACGCTACTCAACAGACAAACAGCCCTAGTTCATGACCTAATGCAATCACACAGAGACAACGAATGGGTCAACTTTCTGAGCAACATTGATCCCACAAGTGAAGGCTGGACAAAAATCTATAAATTAAACAAAAAACTCATGCACAAACGACCAGCTGTACACCCTCTTTCGGACAATCAAAATATTCTACACTATGACGCAGCCGCCAAATCGGAAATATTCGCTGATTCAATGGAAAAACAATTCCAAACACCAGACCACACAACCCAGACGGATGAATTAGTCAAGAATGCCATTGAAGAACATTTTAAAATACCTTATACCAAAAACATTTTCTTCTCCCCCGGAGAAATTCAATACACTATAAAGAAACTACCAAGTCAAAAAGCACCAGGTCCAGATCAATTAACTAACGCCTGTCTCAAACATTGTGACAGGAAAGTGCTACTACAACTATGTAACATTCTCAACACCTGCACGAGACTGGAATACTTCCCACAAAAATGGAAGCACGCCACCATAATCATGATCCCAAAGCCAGGAAAGGACGTCAAACGACCAGTTAACCACAGACCAATATCTCTATTAAACACGCTGGGGAAGGTTTATGAAAAACTGATCCTTAATCACTTGCAACACTACTTAAAGGACCATATTAGACCCGAACAATTTGGATTTCGGCCAAGCCATAGTACCACCACCCAACTTGTCAAAATAGTTGATGAAATCTCAATAAATCTAAACAAAAGGGCAAAAACAGCCACAGCATTTATAGACATCGAAAAAGCCTTCGACAAAGTCTGGCATCAAGGTCTGATCTACAAACTAATTCAATTTCAATTACCAATTCAGCTGCTTAAACTCCTCCAATCATTCCTCCAACTCAGGACATTCGAAGTAAGAGTCAACGACTCAACGTCATCATGTAGACCTATACTCGCCGGTGTACCGCAAGGATCGTGCTTATCCCCTCAGCTCTTCTCGGCCTACATTAATGACATGCCCCAGCACAAGGATTCAAAGACGGCTCTATTTGCAGACGATACCATGTTTTACGCTTCCGGACCCACCACTAACTGCGCCGTTAAAAGACTACAAAATCAAATAGATCTAACCTCCACATGGTTCAAAGATTGGAAGGTAACAATAAACCCTACTAAAACTACAGCAGTTCTATATGCAAACAAAATACCTTATCACACAAAAAATATACTAATGGAAGGCAACACTATAAAATGGTCCACCAAAGCCAAATACCTAGGAGTAACAATTGACTCCAAACTACACTTCACTTCCCACATCACAGACACAATGAACAAAACTAAAGCTGCAAAACACTGCCTATTTCCAGTTATCAATAAAAACAGTCCGATTCCCCTTAATATGAAATTATATATATACAAAACCTACCTAAGGCCAATTCTTACATACGCAGGACCAGCGTGGGCCTCCAACATATCAGAAAATTCTTGGAAAAAACTGGAGAGCACCCAATCAGGCTTTTTAAGAACCATCACAGACAGTCAATGGTTTGTAAGAAACTCAACAATCAGGAACTCTGCTGAAATCCCATCCATCAGAAAATATATACAGACCGAGACATCAAAATTAAAATCCACCATCACAAGTTCAAAATTCTCACACATCTCAAATATAAGCAGAAGAACCTCGCCTAAACAATTATTCATAAACAGACCAATCTCCTTCTAAACAAAAAATATCTAACTCATGAACTATCTCACCCCTCACATGCAACCCTCTGAAAGAAGCATCAAAGCTTGGAACAGAGTAACAACAAACAAAGCAAAGCAAAAACCGGTCAAATCATCTTCAACACCAGTCTTCAACATATCTTCTATCAATCAACAAACACTATAGAAGACCCGAAGACCCGAAGACCTGAAGACCCGAAGACTATCAACGCAGCAGCAACATCGGCCTGAACGACGCCGGCGAAGCTGATCCGACCTAGCTAGTCCACGACAACGCACCCTGAACGCACCGGTCTAGCGTAATCGCTCGATACCGCCGAGACTCTACAGTACCCGGCACACCTGGTCAACAAGCACCACCTCACCGTCCGACGACGCCAAGCCTACCGTGTGCATCCAGCGATCGACGGCAACGGATAGCCGCCACACCGGGACCTGACTAATCCATCGACGGCAACGTATAATATAATTATACCCCGGCGACTCACTACTGTCAGTCCACCCGTTCAACCGAGTCCAGTCACGCCGTTGGACGAATACCAGGACACGCCGGAAACCGACTTCGCGACGTAACTTGGCCAACCGACTATTCAGCAAGTCGACAAGTAATACCACGTTTCCCCCCACGGTGAGCTTACTCGAGTTTCACCGCGAGGAAGAACCGAACCCACACGACTTGCTAGAGCCCGTGCACGGACGGTTCCTACTCTCCCCTATTATTGTACTATTTCTACAATACGTATAGGCAAGTCCCGACTATTGTTTTGCTCGCGCCTCTTCAGGCCCGAACCCGCCCGCCGCGGCCGCTTCTTCAAGCCTGCCGCGCGGCCCGGGATAACTTGCCCCGATCATTATAAACATTATTTTAGTGATTATATAATAAACGATACTATAACGATACACAACGCATTGTTATTCACGATCACGGACGTCCCGGAAAGACGCTCCGTATCATCTTTCAAACCCATCATGGACCTAAATACCTAATATCCTCAGAACACAAAGTAAAATAATTAAAAACCACCCTTTCAAATTTCGATTTAGACACAACATTTTTCAAAAATTCATCCAACTAACGATTTACAAAATAAAAGGGTAATTATAATTAGATAAAAAAAAATTGGTATTTTCAAAGTACACTCCTTTGGTGATATAAAGAATCTAAGTATTTTAAAATATTTAACTTAAGTTTATTTAAAAGATCTAAAAATCAAAATTTAAATAAATACTTTATTAATGGAAAAACGGAAATGAGCGTATGCTAGGTGAAGCATATGATGTAAATATTATATTTGCTTCTCGTCAATACAAACCTACAGTGTGCTGTTTAGCTGTGATAAATGTCTTACAACAGTTTCTATTGTGTATCGTAAATTTTTCTATAAGACAAAGTTAAATAAAATTACTATTTGATCATAAAACATAAATTGCTAATTAAAAGATAATAAAATAAAAGTATAAAGTTCTGACAAAGTTTTACTATTATGTTATATTGTTAGATGTATACATTATAATTATGTTCCACCTATATAAAAAGGTTAAAACTAAAACCGTGCCCGATCAGAGTTTAAAAAAATGTGGTCAAGTGAGTATCACCCCCATTCTACTGTACATTAAGTGTCGTGTGGGTCACTGTAATGGATATGTAAAATTTGAGTTTAATGATATAAAATAATATTTTATTAAAAACGAAACTGGGCGAAGGCAGTACGTCAGCCTAAATTACTAAGTACCTATATTTTATGATATTGTTATTATTAGAGTAATATATTCTACGATTAGTAATACAATAGATTGATTCATTTGAAAATGTCATTGCATGTGAATAAAATATAATGATATAGGTACTTTAAAATTTTTAAGTAGGTACTCGCAAGAATAATATTTTTAAATTACAACAAAATAACTAGAAATTTTATTCGCAATTTAAATATATAATTTCGTTCTAAATTGAACTTAAAATGTCTATAAAAAAAACTGTGTAAGGTAATATAATATTTACTAGATTTTTTGCTGACAATGTAAACTACTTATGAGAAACATTGTTTTACATTTTCAATCATTAGCTAAAGGTATATCATTTGAATATTTTATGAACCTAACCTATACATAATTATAAAGTAAACATTTAAAGTAACTAAGGTTATTCGTTTTTGAATTGCAATGAAATTTAAAAAATCGATTAAGGAAAAATGGGAAAAATAGTTAGCTTATACGTGTGAAATAACCAATGTCAAAAAAATTTGACCTTCAAACACTCATACAAATTAATGTGACTATCCGGTAAACTTTTTTTTACTATAGAAAGAAAAACTTAGGAGTTATCTTTATTTAATTTTCAAATCTAAGATATGAAAGAAACATTTTTATGAATTTCTAACTACAAAATAATTTGCAAACTTTCACGGTATTGAAAAATTTTGAACAATTCTTACGCTCATGATAATTTATTGTAGATTTACGATCAGCTTATTTATTAATTACACTAGTCACAACTTTTTAGAGACTCTGTATTATAATTTCAAGTTTTTTGACAGGGGGAAAATGATTAATCAAAAATAATTTTTCAAAAATATGTGTGTTTATAGCAGATTTTATTATTATGCAACGAAAATAATTTTTTTAGAATATCTTAACATGCAGATATGTACCTATAACTCATGCAATAATAATCCACTCACAAACGTGTGTTGGACTTCAAATGTAGGAAACGTTTATATATTGAATAGTTATAATAGACTTTCACTGAATTCTCGATAGTTCTCTACCTGTTTTCCTTTATTGGTTAAATATTTTTTTTTCTATAAGAAAATAGTGAGAAATGACATCCACTTATGGTTTGATGGAATTTACCTTTTGAAAGAGAGAGAGGGAGAGAGAGAGAGAGAGAGGTCCATGCGCAGAAATATCAGATTTACTTCTGACCTATATGATTATTTTATAATTATTTAAATGACTATAATATAAGTCACCAAGGCTACCGGCATTAGAAATGCAAATAAATATAGGTATGGTTTGTCTACATTTGTTATAAATTTAATATTATGCAAATGACGAACCATTCTTCTTGAAATATAGTATAGGACCCGTCATATATAATTTGTTGTCACTACAGTAGAATAATTGTAAAACCGTTAATTGCTATACCTGTTTAAATTATATTTGTTTTTGTATTATTATGCAGTTAATTAGTTTTTAGATCCCATAAAGAATAATCTAGGATAAATTATAATTATTACTAGTCACGTAATTTCGAATTTTATTGATTTAACTGTTTAGTACAATTTGAACTGCTCGTCGGGGTCATTATTTTTTGTTTGCTTTCTGCCCATTATAGTTGTACTGTAAGTACTAATAATGGTAGAAAAAAATATATTAGGTTCTT